ATCACTGAATAAAATGACGCTTAACAGTTCGGGATGAGCTTTTATTCAGTGGCAGAAATCCATACGCTGAGCATGGTCGCCTGGTTCCAGATGTTGTACCCTTTGATCGTGGTAAGGATACAACTCTTCATCATGTAAAGTTCGCCACACCTGCATACATGATACGCCGATGCGAGAGGCCATTCTACGAGTAGACAGACGCGGACTTCTCTGAACCATCTCAAGAATGTTTTCTCGTGTGTTTCTCATTCGTACATCCTCCCTTTCAGAATGCACAGAAACACTCGGAAGAGAACCAGTATCACGCAACGTCTGGTGAATTCGCATAAATACACTTCGAGATGGAATCTTTCGATCGGGAAAAGGCCTTTGGTATTCTTCAACAGAAGCACGTGCATTGCCATCGCAAAATCCACACACAAAATGCATATCACAATATTCCACGTGGGAAAACACAAAAGGCATTTCAGCAACTCCGCACAATTGACCTACCACCAATTCACAATGAGGCCGCAACGTATCCTGAAGGGAGCACATAAGCTTACGGCTAGTGTGAATCACCACACTCAAGGACAAACATAGATAAGACTTGTCAGCTGACAGGTACAGTGCGTGAACCCGCCAGAAGACCACACTTTTCTCGGGCCATTATCTCCGTAACCGTTCAACTTTGGACATAGGTGTTTTGCGTTATATCGGCATACTTTAACATAAGGAACACCCTCCCGAAGTTTGGCATATGCCTCCTGGGACACCCTATAAGTAATCCTTCATGACAAGATCAATACTGAATTGAAAACCATGAGACTTGCTGTGATTCCATCATCAGGAACAATCCCCGGCACATCCACAAGACTGTTCAACTGTTCATTATGACCAGGGACCGGATTTTTATGCCCTAATAATCCCTTAAATATGCATGCATTTATGCATGAAAAACTTCCGAAATATGCACTAAATTTTGGACACAGAAATTTATACCAAATATTAAAAATGAATTTACATTATTTTAAGATCAACAAATCAATATTTAAGTTCACTTTATGTAATCACTGAATGAATCACTTACAATAAGAAGCTATACTTAAATACAAATCATGCAACAAAGCCAGCATATTTCATTGCAAATTTAAAAAATCAATGGTACTCACATTTAGCTCTCCAAACTTTCAACTTCTCTTGTGTTGCAGTTCACAATTACTAAATGTTTTATGTTTTCCATATTTAGTCGCCTCCTATTGTCTCGTAAGATGTCCCTATAGCGGGAAAAACTTCTTTCCACCTCACAGCAACTTAGGGGTGCATGTACAAAAGCCGCTATATGCTACACTGTTAGTGATTTTTTACTTGGCAGTTCAGTACGTTTACCGGTTACAATTTCTTCAATTTCACAAATTTGTTCATATCCCGGATTTTTTTAAAGAATGAAGTGTACTTTTTCCTTTACTACTTCACAAACTCTTCCAAGAACCGAATTCAATTTGAAAACAATGGTTTTGAAAACGACTGATACAAAGTAGTATTGCTATTGCTTGCCTCCAGTGAGGAAATGGCGAATGGAAGATGAGAGAAGTGAGCAGATATATAGGAAAGATTAATTTCTAGTTCTGCGTTTTTAGTACATCTTGGGCAATCTGAATTGATGCTGTACTTTTGGGATCAAATGTATTCACGACATTCCTAACTGTTTCTAAATGCACACAGCCACGTGCCCCGGCACGTTAAAATTGGTTCTGGCGGAAGTGGAACGCTCGGTGCTACTGCTTTGAAGGCTTCTTTTCTGTATGGCGCTTTAACAAATACCTTCTTCACAGAAGACACCAACTTGTCAACAAGCGGAAAATTTGCGCGAATTGTTTCTGCAACACGGTGCAACCGATGGGCAAGGCAAGTCAAATGTGTCATATTTGGAAATACAACTTTAAGAACAGTACCGGCTTTCATCATATAACTTGCGGCATCAGTCACAAAGAGCAATACGCGCTCATCCTGAATGCCATTCGGCCATAGTAAATTCATGGAATTGATAAAAGAATTCGGAACCTGCGGAGCTATTTGTGGTTTCAAATTGCTCTACCGCAAGAAGATATGGGGTAGATTGTTCATTCTTATTAAGGGCTCAAACTATACAATTTGCAATAAACCGTCCCTCACAATCTTGGGTTTCGTCGACTGATACCCACACAAAATTATCTTGAATCTTATCTCTAATGCTTTCAATTGTAAGATCGAAACACTGCTTCACGTAATTTTTGCGCACAGTAGATTCATCCGGCACTTTGCACTGTGTATACTTCTTTATGAAGTTTCTCAGAGTAGGATTGGTTAGTTTCCACGGCGGAATATCTGCCGTTAAAAAGGAACTGTGAAAAACTATTATTAGAAAATTCACTGAGCAATTTTTGAACAGGAGCACTTTTCGTGGATTTAATTTTAACATTCTCTTTGTGTATAATAGTTTTCAAAAGCTGAAGCACTTGAAAGCGTTTTTCAAAACCAACTATTTTCTCACACGCTCGGCAATAAATAATTTCGTTATTCGTACTTATCATCTCTACTTCGAACTCCTGCTGATACAGCTGTAATTTTGTTTTCTGACTTACTTTCACTTTCGGCATGACAACAGAAAACTAAACAAACTTAACTACAGACTAGTCACCAGTAATGTGAACAGCCCCCAGCTTCAAATGAAGAAGCGTAACGAACCTCATGGAGACTTCGGAAATAAATAAGTGAAGTCCCTTATTGCCTGAATAGTATTATGTTGATAGCGGCTACATGTGAACCCTTCCGACCAATCTCTTCGCGGCCACTTTGATGGTACGCGGATGAGGCAAGTTACGAGTAGAGGAATTAGAGGGATCGGGGTCCTGGGTATTGCATCAGAAACATAAATCATGTCGAAATGTTGAGTTAAATATGCAACATATTCTAATACGGCAAAGAAAAATTGTATGCACACGACCATGACTGAAAATTTGAACATAAAATTAAAAAATATATATGATAAACATTTTAAAAAGGAAATTGCATTATAAACAGAGATCTTTAAAAATATGAAGCTTATTCATAAAACAGGCAAAATATTCATTTATATGCTCCATCAAACCATGTCCAATATTTAAGAAATGAAGTAATTCATACATCCGTATCCAAACGAGCATACTTTCTAAGTAGTTACTATAGGATTCTGACGATGGTGTATAACACACTGATATATTGGGTTTCTGGACTTTATCCATCGTCCTAGTTTTTAAGATAACAAAAACACGACGTTTCGGAAACTGGATCTGTTTCCGTCCTCAGGTGAAGGAAAAGGGGAACACCTATTCTGTTGGGTCCGTTAGAAAGAGCTAGCCTCAATCACTGGA